TATGATCTATGTTCCGTAAGAAGTGGTTCGAAAACAGATCAAGATTAAAATAAGCAGTAGTTGCCTTTGAAGCTTCTCGTGTTCTCTTTACTGCACCCATGCTAATGAATTCGCCTTAAAAGCATATGGCACGATAACTTGGTACTCGGTCTAAAATGCTAGCAGGATGCTATATAGTGGGGAAAATGGCGAAAAACGAAGTGAAACGGTCAAAAACCTGCGAAGAAAAGCTCGTTCTAAAATGACACAAAAGCACTTTCGGACGAGTTTCCCGTTGGCATCTTGCCAGTAACTGCTACGGTGATACAACTCCATGTATGTACTTGTTGAGGAATGATAGCAGTAGTTTACTCCAAGTGAGAATAGTATTGTACGATACCAAATCATTCCTGTATAAAAGACTGTTTGTCGAGTATGGTTCACTTTTGTTCGGCTCTCGCTTGGACTCAATAAACGACTACGCTGCTTCCGGTTTCGATACAGAACATTGGCGATCAGGACCACCCAGGACTTATCAGCACGAGGACCCATCAGCCCAGGATCTAGAAGATGCCAAAGTCCTCCGGAGACACAATTCCTGCCCCAGCCACACTTGAGGTACTACTTCAGTCTATGATACAACAACTTCAATTTCAGCATGAAGAGATGAAGCTGCTGTTCAATTCCCTTACGCCGAACGGAACGAATGGAAAAGACTGTCAGGATAGCCAGTACGACCTGTTGAACAAGGAGGTTCAACAACTTCGTGGCAGATGAAGAACCGGATACACTTTCGACTATTGGTATAAGAAGGTACGGCCCAATGATTCGAGAGTCGAGTGTGCCAGATAGCAAGAAGAGAGATCTTATTCTGTTGAAACTAGAAGATAGCGCGCACCGTAAGTAGATGATCTACCATTACAACCGCACGAGATAGATTTCGATTGAGCAGTAAGAAATCTCCAGAAGTTGTTCGCATGCAAGAAAACGTTAATCCGACGACGATACGAGTGTATAAACTGCCCAGCGCTGACTTCGGACACCATACCGTATCGAGAGTACGCCAATCAGGGCACGCCATCTTTGTGATCATCACAACAGGGGGGTCGTATTTGCCCGCGATCGAGGGGGGGGTCGTAAACGCATGGCCCATGTTGAAGTGGAGAGAGCGGTGATACACGGTACAAGTGAAAAAGAAGCTCAAAAGGGACGATGTAGATGACAATAAATAGAACTAGGCACTATCGAACTATTCCTAGGCCAAAAAAAAATTGCTGAAACTTTTTCCTCCTTCCTCACAAAAAAACTTCAAGACACTTCGCCCACCAACCCTCCTCATCTGGTCTAGATAAATCCCAATCCACTAATCCGCAAAATCTAGAAAAGAATCCATTGCAAAAGCTACCTATGAAAGCGCAGAAATTGAAATCCTGAGCAATTTCCTCACAACAAAACCAAGCGCAACAAAACAAAACCAAACGAAAACAAACAATCAAAACTCACAATCAAATAAGAAAAAGAATAAAGATAAGAAAAAAAACTCACCAGGTCAGCTGGGAACCGGAACTATGGATTACTTTTGAATTTTGGCTGTTCGCGGTCAGCGCGCTTATACAAGCTCATTGGTGCGCGCTATTTTACGCCTGGAGCCAGTTTCAAGCCAAAGCGTGAAAAGTACCCCTCATTTGAACGCCCATAACTTCGTTGAAAGTGAAGCTATCGGAGAGGGGTAAGTGGGAATGAGTAGAGCTAGGTTGGCTCTTGTCACCTGAATTGAGCGATTTCAAAAACGTTCCGATTCCAGAGATTTTCCCCGTTGTGATCATCTTTGTGATCCATCGCCTGATCACTTTTGCGACAGCGCAGTACGCTACGCTCCTTGGGCGTTCCATGGCAGCTTGCTTACACGACCTTTTCAGTGGTAAAAAAAAGAACTGTGCCGGAAGCTTGAAGATTTCTACTTTCCAGCAAGGTTTTAATTTCCTTCCTAGACCTACTATTCGAAAAAATTCCCCGTTGTGATCATTTTGTAATCACCCCCACGACACCGAAAAATCAACCCCTCCGAGGCCATGAACCTCCAGTTGGCTTGAAAGACTTTGGTATGCTTCTGAAACACATGTTTCCGCAAAGGGTATTGAAGAATAGTCTAATGGCGCCAATTGGCATCACCTGTGCAATGCGCCATGCATGGGGCTTTCACGCAGGTTTTAGGAAAGGTGTATTCTAGATAGGGCTTCCAATTGCAAGCAAATGTGCTCCTACGATCAGAAAAGTCCGGGAATGTACTTTCATCGGTTTATTAATCGTCACGTCGTGAGTCCTTTTGCTTAATTATAAATTCATGGTGCCCTTTCGCCGGCTAACTGTCGCTCCTATCATCTCCCTTCCTCCGACGTATTGTCAGTATGCGCTACAACCAGCGCCAGAGTGCTGGGAGTGCTGGACCCACGCTTGGGCGGATACGTAGGTACTGCGACCCCCCCCCCCCGCTCGACAGCAAAATTTTGTAAAAAAACCAGAAATTTTTTGGGAAAAAATAGACAAAGTGGTAGGAGGTTGGAAAAATCTAGGGAAGAGGTAACATGGGGAGGGGGTCGTACTTGAAGATGGAATTAGGGGGGGGGGTCGTATTTTTCAGAAATGATCCAACCCGCAATGGCGTGCCCTTGACGCAATCGCATTGAAGAATGGAACGAGAAGCTTGCGTTGAAAGGAGATTGCATTACACGCGCTGAAGACTTTTGCAGTTCGGTTCGCAGGCCTTCAAGACCCTTCACTCCAGGAAGTACGTCTTAGAATGCTTTCATAGGCTCGATACGCAAGCAGAAGACGCGCCGTTGACAATCAGAGGTTTCTTCGCTGACTGTGAAAATTTCACAGCTCTTGAAGATGGATAACGGCCAATATGGGAACAAGCATGACATCCATGCTGTTCAGAAAAAGAAGGTTAAATGTTTCGGATGTGGAGGACCACATTTTAAGAGCGCTTGTCCACTTCTCAAACAGATCTCCAAGAAACCGAAAAAGGCAGCACCACCGTCGTAAGAGGAAGCAATGCCGAAATAACGCAACTTTCGCCCCTGAGAAAGCAAGAACATACGTCAATATCGATGTCAGAGGACATCCTCTACGTTTCCAACTCGACACTGGAGCAGATATCACGCTGATATCTCGTCGAACATGGAAAAAGCTCGAAAAAATTTCACCCAAGCCGTCTAGCAGTGCTGAAGAGTGAGGAGAGGCACATATTTGTAGATCTGAAGTACTTGGTCACTGGATACTCTTCAATACCCAAAGAAGGTATTATATTTATTCGCATATATTTCGTCTTAATCTTACTAGAAATCCCTACACGCTTCCTATTCATGTAATTTATGCTATGTTAGTTACAAGTTAAAAGTTAGAGAGGATTAGCAGGAGTGACATGCAAAAATTTGGCACCCTTTTATATACACGACAGATGTTTGATCACTACGCTGACTCTTGGACGCCAAGGCGCCAGAAATCAAAATGGGTTATCCTTAAGACCTCTAGTGCTGGAGAAGTACAGTGAGCGGTCAATTGGCAACATGGAAGAGAGTTGCAAATGAACCCGTCAGTGGAGTGGAATTCGTAAGGGAAAGTTGGAGACGCTCCTGATAGGACCCTGCCAGCTCCGTGTTATTGTGCGAGGGCAAGGCGCAAAGACCGCATGCTGAGACGAGTCTAGTCACCTGATTCCCCGCAATGAGTCCTATGACCCTCCGAAAGGCCATGGAGCTTTTATTATATTTCATGCTCCCTGCTCGGTGGCAGCGACTTCCTCTGAAAGGGGGACTCGAAGGCGATGGAGGCGGAGTCACTAATGGGAGGCATGACTGGAGCAACATTGCGCCTTCGCCTAGCAGCTCTCCTCCGCGAAACTGGTACAAGGTTGTACATTACGGGCAACACTCCCTTTTTCACGCAATTTTCCGCATTTTAATGGGTTATCGTGGACCGTTCCTCTAATAACAACTACATGTAACAATTGTGTGTATTGTTGAAGTGAGGGACGAGTAGATTCAAGCAGATCACCAAGGCGATAGCCCATTTTCTGTCCAGCCAGTTAGAGCAACTGTTAAAGCCGAATGCTTGATTTCTTCTCTAATTTCAAACTAATGTTGGCTGCATGGCGCTTTCATAAACATCACTGTGCGTAATAAAAAAATTTCTAGTCGCCTTTTTCATTTGAATATCTTCCGCGCTATTTGTGTATTACCGTCAGAAACGAGTGAGCGAGCAAGGCGCTTTGCAGTTGCTCTCTACAAACGGGCAGCACCAATGGGGTGCAAAAAGTCAATTTAAATTCCGAACAACCAGAGCTGTTGAATATAAAATAACCCACGGGAGAGAAAGTGATTCTGTAATTGTTGTGCTATAGTTTAGCTTCACCAGCTTGCAAGATTTTATTCAAGGTCTTAGCTGACTTCCCATTTGGAAGGGAAGCGAAAGTGCGCTGTTCGGCTTACTCGGGAGGGAACTTTGTACATTCGCTAGCTCCTTTTGCTAACTCATGTTAAAACACAGAAATTCACAGTTC